AAACCCCAAAACCCCAAAACCCCAAAAGAATTAAATTCACACTAAATCTCAAATAAAGAATAAAATAATAATTAGTGAAGAAAATATATAAATTTAGATCAATTCTAACTCAAATATCTTTCCTATCCAATTCCTCGGTCGGCTCCAGCTTCGTTATGCCATTATTATAGTCAACTATCCAATTAACTTAATCATCACGATCTTGTTCAAAGATACCAATATAGTTTAAATCTTAAATATTCTAATCATCATTAGCCTCTTCATCTTCTTACAATCTTACTGTATCATCATAAAATATCCTCTTTTCTTTCAAGTCCAAAAAGTGCTTGAAATTATCAAGATCAACAAAAGCCCATTTCATTCCATCCTGAGAGCATATTCTGTTTTATAAGGAACTGTGAAACTATGGGTTGCCCTTAAATTATAATTATTCATCCATTATCTAAATTTCAATATCTATAACTTGTTTAAAATCGTCTTCCTTCTTAGATCTATACTTCTTCTTTCTTTTTTCATGAGCATATAACGCTTTGATTTATTAGCTATTCTCTTGATCAATATTTTGTTCCTTAATATTTTGCAATTATTCTTAAATTACTTCTGTTTCAGTCACTTTGAGACTATAGAGACTACTCTTATGCTCCAATTTATTGTTTTAATCAGGCTCAATACCACCAAAGAAATAGAATTAATCAGTTTGAGGTATCTGGAAGAGCATTTGCTTTTCTACTTCTAGTGGATAATTCAAAATTTGCTCAGTGAAAAATTCAGGGGTTTCTCTTGTATCCCAAAATTCAAAACTTAAGTGATATAGCGAATACTTATCATACTTCACTCTTCCAACTTTATACTACTTTTTCCTACCAAATATTACATAGAGTCTTTCTCTAAAGTAGAAACAACTATGTCCAAATCTAGGATGATTTAGTTTTGGGACATTACTTATCTTATTTATCATTATTTTGTCTGAATCATTTGAAAGTTTAAAATCAAAACCCTAATTATCTTTCACACCATAATATGTCTTTTCATAACACTTTTACCCACCAGTGAGAAACAATTGTTGCTTATCGTTAGTAGTCCAAGCGAAGTGTCTAACATTAGGTAGTTAAATTCTAGTCTTTATAAGTCTAATTTTACCATTTTAATCTACTTCATGCAGGATAATGACAGGTAAAATGCCAATCACAAATGTTTTCCAAATACTCTGTCCAAGCCTTAAAAATTCAATTTCAATTATAGCAAACTAAGCTTTATTCTTGGGAGACAAGTACTTCAATTGCTAAAAGTCTTATTCAGATATATTAGAGTCAAGTTCTAATCTTTCGAGAGTTAAGTTATTATTCATGAAATAAAAAAGAGATTGCTTAATCCTCTCGTGATCGAGCGATTTACTCTGGTTAGCTTAAACAATTTGCTTAAATTTCATCAGCTCCTTCTCTTAAGTTGTCAGCACTTATATCACCTATTTTCTAACTTCCTTCTAATTTTGCTTCTTTTATCTTTTTTTCTTTTTTGGTTTTTTTGCTTTTTCTTCTTCATTATACTCAGGCATTCTTTATCTCTAAATACATTCATTTACTTTTTTCTCATTCTTTTTCTGAATATCCAAGAATGAGGTTAAAATTTTAGATGGGTTAACATACTAGAGAATACTTTCTTATCTGTTTTATTTTCCCTAATCCTTCTATTTGTTGGGATCATTCATGCTATGCCTATTCTATTCCAGTTAACGGACTTAATTATCCTCAAGATTGAGCTCACCAATATCAGAAAAAACCGATACGCATTAAGCGATCTTTTCAAGATTACTTTACTGTTAATGTAATATTTTCAATAGCAAATCTTATTTTCAATCATTTTTATAGTTTTCTCTTCTACTTTTAAATCCTTTTAAGAATTTATAATCGTCATTTGGGTTCAAGGTTGAAGACATTATTTCATTCTGAGATTATCCTTTTTCTTAAATCTCCTCTAATTTCATCGTTTAAGCCTAAGTTAACTGCTCAAATTGAAACTCAAACAGTTTCTTCATTTGATTCTCTAAATCTTTCTAAGATTGCAAAAGTTTATTTCTGAAATCAATTTTTTAAGTTTAGATCTTTTTGTTGTCTTAAATGAATAACTGATGTGATTATTATTATCACATATCAGTTCTAGATTCAATTCTTTCTTCACTCTATTCTTAAGCGAGACTTTAAATATTTCGAGTATTTTTATTGATGCTAACAAACTTTTACTCTAATTTTAACATTATATTATTTCTTTTAAGATCTAAATCTTACTTATATCGGATTAAAGGGGTTTTGGGGTTTTGGGGTTTTGGGGTTTTGGGG